TTTAGGCTAATTAAATATTTTTTACCAATGACAATAAATGCTCTTAAGGAGCCTTTAATGTTTTATTATTTTCTCGCTCTACCAGCGCTTTGAGACAAACATTTGACAAGTGATAAGAAGAAGCACCGCAACAAACTTCACAACTGTCTGCCAAACTCCGACAACTTTGTGATAAATAATTTTTAACACCAGCCCCCCTAGACAAAACGCACTTTTTGATCGAATCGAAAATCGAATCTGTCAAAACTCCATACAAAAAAGGGGCTTTTCGACCACTTTTCGACTGGTTTGCGATTATAATTTGCACTTTGTCTAGACCCACTGCAATATGTTATTTACCTATGTTCCACAAATAAACGAATTTGATTTGATTTGATAAATGTAGCACAATAATGAAATAAAAACAATTATAAACTTAATTTACCACTAACGTTTCAGGCATAATTACCCTACGAATATTATCTGCGGTGTTGTGGCTCAAATGTGCATGCAAATATCAAATGAAATTAGCTATCAGAATTCCTACGTTATTGTGGCTCCATTTTCAGAAGCTTAGAGTTTAATGCAAAATTTTAGCGGGCCAAGTTGAAAGTATAACCAGTTGGCAAATGCATGGGAAATGATGTTGTTCCATTATGTAAAGAGGTCTGAAAATGGCGCATCACAATTTCCAGGCAAAAGGTAAAAAAGTAGGATGAACAAAAATGTCTGTAACACAGGAAGCCCATTAGTGTAAAGGTGTGTGAACACTCGGTAACAGACCAGTGCGCAGTGCCCGCATCACGCTCGCTCGAGTGCCCTCAAACAAATTAATGTGATGCCAACAATGTGTAGAGTTCTTATGATTCTGCGCATTATGTCAAAAGCTCATAATACAACTTACGGATTTTTCAGACAGATGATTATGCACATTATGTCAAAGCTCTTGTTAAAAAAAACGAATTTTTCAGACGGATGCGGCGTAACTGCCTTACAGTGTACGGGACCATGTTTTATTTCGAATGTTCTGGTTGATTTTAACTTCTACTTACGTCGATTCAGGTCTCATCTTGAAATACTCATTACTAGAGTATTTAAAATGCACTAGCACTCTTGTTGAGAGTTTTGTTGTAGTAATGGAAGTAAGATAGGCGGCGATTAATATTGGTTGAAATAACTCTACATTTACTCAATACTAAGAAGAAAATAAAGCTATTAGGTAGACCTTATACTTTTATTTGAGCTTTGTGTTTCAACAAATAATACTCCTAGTCCACCTACGTACTTATTATGTGGCTTGGAGCATGTAAAACTACATCCTTGTAAAAAAATATGAATATATTAATATGATTATGATTTTAAATGAAAAAAAATGGTACGTGCCAGCACATAATTTAATCGATCCTTGAAACAGTTTTATGAAACGATTTTATTCATATACCCTGGGCACGCATGATATTTGAATACTTATCTACCTACATATTAATACGTTAAGCTTCTTAACACAAAGAACTGTTATACAATACAATACTGTTTATAGTTGCATTGTTCTACATTATCTACAAGTATGTTACAAGAATCTATTGATATCGGCTTGATTGATTTAGCCGACTAGCTTTTTTGTTTTCTACATTACTTCTATGTAAAAGTTTCAATAAAGTAATTATTATGGGGCAATCTAGAAGCTATTTCGTGAAGAATACTCTTCGTGAGTACTCAATCATGCATAACCAGCGCGATGTTTCCAGGCTTAAATCAAGCTAACTCGGTTTAATTGATGTTCCTGATTAACATATTACGCACATGATTACAGCTATTTTGATATACTTTGTTTGAATTTATTGCAAAGTTTAATGAAACTATGATGTAAAAAATTTTGTCAAATTGCCAAATAAGTATTTTTCAACCATGGGGACTTTCACATTTCATTTATTATGGTGGTCCGAAAATTCGTTCCAATTTTCAGCTGTATGGAAATTTTAATGTCTGATTTTACTGGACTAATATTGCTACTTGGCATTTTTAAACAAAAACACATCTTAATATCATGTAAGAGGACAACAGAATCAATTTTATTAACCACTTTACGTCTGTGCAGCGTCGTGCTGTCGTTCCAGGAATTACAACATCTCGTAATGATAATGGTACTAAACTAATCTATCAGATGTGGAGTGTCTATTACCGGAGACACACGTGCAATAGTCATTGATTAATGGGATTGTGAGAGGTTAAGCCCTGTATCTTGTGCAGGGGCAGGCCTGTTCGCGGCATGCATAATGCAAGATGCTCACTTACGTGAGAATCAGTGTATGTCAGTTTCAATAGACTCCGGAAGTTTTGTAAGTAAAATGTGTTAATTTGACTCAAATATGTATAGATGCAAAGTATATCAACTATCGGTATCGATTCGATCGGTATTGATTCAGTCATATTAGGTACTACGAGTAGAGACCTAGAGAATGGGTTTGATGATCTAGGATTCAGTAGAAGATAGAGCTGGTAACTAACGTTTTTAAGTGAAGTTTTTATTTGGGAATCTAATATCTAAGATTGTAGCTACGTATGGGAACAAAACCTATTGAATATCAGTACCAGTAAAGTAACCAGTCATTGCCAATGACTGTTGCTTACTACAGCCAATGGACTCATTGGACACAGAGTGTTTGCACAAATTTCGCAAACACTGTAGCTTGGGTGGATTTATGGATGGATGGATGGATGAGAGCAATCTCCGGATTTCTGGAACCAATTGAAATTATAGTACCTACCTATGTTTTCGATATTAATACCGTGATCCAAAGCCGACCTACATAATCTATTTTACGTTCGTTTATAAACAAATAAAGTCCAGTAAAATAAACATTGTAACACAAAGACTCCGCGCAAGGCCCGATGTTTACGAGCTACGCTAAAGAAGATCGAACAAACCGGTCTTTGTAAAACGATAGTGGACCACTTATGCAACGGCCGGAGCAGTATTGCGAGATAATGACCTGGGCCCGTTAAGTCGTAAACTAGCCGTCAAAGTGATGGCGATGCGATGCGGCTGATGTATCCCAAAATGCATCATTAGGCTGTAATTTGATGACCTACGCAGAGTTGGTGAACTTTTTTTTTTATTAATTGAAAGGTTGTGCAATGTAGAGTCAGCCAAATATAAGTTCTTTCATCTTGCACCTTTAGGAATACATATTAAACTAAGTACCAAACCGACTTAAAAATAGATTCTAGGTAGGTACATTCTAAAAAAATTAAGCTTATAATTGTTAATAGTAATACACGATTTGTGTCGGAAACAGTCGATTTGTTTCTGGGTTAAGCACATTCTCTTTATAGCGAATATAACATTATACCAAAATTTATAATCGTATAAAAATTTAACTGACTCAATAGAGCTTGAGCACATCGTCGTAAACGAAACGCAAATAGCAGCTTTCGAAGCGACTTTAAAAGTAACTTTACACTGTGTCGGATGATTGTATGAACACCGTATTTATAGAAGTAGCGATTTTATTAGCTTGCTCTTTACGAAATGGGTTCTACTTACTTGAATTTTTATACATAGTTAGAAAACTTTGGTTATGTAGAGACTGCCCGCCCCATCTTTAGACGTAAGGAAAGTCGGATAACATAATGTAGGTAAACAAGGTCGATATTTGTTTTGAAGTTGTTAGCTGTCATCAGAAACATAATTATTTAGCCTTGATGAAAAAAAAAGTAATTGGAAATGTGTTCTAAACAACAAGTGATTCCATGGCTTCCTACGTGTTTAACTTCTTATTATCAATCGTAGTTGTTTTCAGTATGATAATAATGATTCTCATACCTTTTACGAGAGATCTGGATCTGGGATATGTAATCCCGAAAACAGCAACTTTATTTGAATCATGTATAATTATTTTTTTAACATTTTCACCATCTTCCTTGACAATATTGACTCTAATATCCGATTGACTGCCCTGCATTAATTTATTTTAATCTTGCAATTTATTTAACTGACATTTATGATTTTGACATTTAATTTGCTCATTATTACTTTTCTATAACATAATATTATACCTACTTAAATTAAAATCACGCTTTAACATTTGTATGCCGACAAGGCTGATCACGGCTTGAACACATATTTTGTTTGTACATCAAAATCAAAATCAAAATTATCTTTATTTATTTAGACTAATTAAATTAGTTCTTGCAAATCGTCAAATGCTCTTAAGGAGTCTATACATGTCTCATTCTTTTTTTGCCCTACCAGCGCTTAGAGACAAACATTTGGCAAGTGCTGAGAAGAAGCGCCGCAACAAACTCAGTCACCACTGTCTGTCGGTTTAAAAATATAAAAAAATATAAAAAAGTAGGAAGTTACATACATTCAGAAGCAAGTTACTTACCACGCGCTCCCGTTGATAGAAGGTGGCCTTTAAGACGCCCATCTAGCACGAGACCGCGTGGCAGTTTTGAATATAGGTATTTCTTTAGTGCCGTGCTAATTTCTAGGTTAATTGTTGCGTTTTGATACATATATTTTATGTCAGGTATATATTTCCTTGACCAGTCCCCGAAGGCAGCGCCTGTTCACAGACATGACGTGTGAACCAGCTATCGCTTCACTCGACCATATTATAGGGAATGTAACGACCCGCCTCACACGCCACTACCCCAGAGACATTTTAGTGAGCATGACAAGTGTAAGATATCCTTCTGGCTAAGTGCCAGATATAAAACTATTTAGGAGACAAGGCAAGAAAACTCTAGAGAGAAAAGCAAGGCACCATAACAAACCCGTGTGGTAGTTTTAAATAAATTGTTTATACTTATATTTAGTGCCGTGCCACTGTCTAAGTTGATTGTTAATTGTTATGTTAAGAAATTTAACCTTAAAGTTTCACAAATAAATTATTTGAATTTGAATTTCTTTTTTTTTTCGTGTCGACAACAAACCTACACAGTGTCAGCCCAAAACTCCGCCACGAGGGTGATTTACACCATGAAAACCCTAATTTATTAACCTTTCTTTCCAGATCGGGCAGAGGAGCGGCGTACGCGTGTTCCGAGGGTGACGGTGGCGCCCCCAAGTCTTGCTGCGGACGCCCCCCGCTCAGGCTATGTGTCCTCTTCCTTGGCGTAGTTGGCGCCTGCCTGGTTGCCGCTGGAGCGGTGCTTGGTGCCTTAAGGCCCCATCCTAAGGCGCCCCTCACATTACTATTACTAATGATAGGTAAGTTTTGGCCTTTAGTACTTTATAATGTGAACAGCTAGGGACTGGAATTCGCTGCCTGCTGCTGTCTTCCCTGAAGACTATAATCCGGGCCTTTTCAAGGCGAGAGTGAATAGGCACTTACAGGGCAGATAGTACCATCCTGGACTGCTTCCCACTTAACACCAAGTGCGATTGTGGTCAAATACCTGCCTTGTAATTCATAAAAAAATAGTTTTAGAAATCTTTGGGGAGGCCTTAATGCAGCACTGGACGGTATTTGGTTGAGACGATGACACGGTTGCTTGTTAAAGATCAACGGAATGAGTTCACTTCTAATTCTAATTGCAACTCTTTGCTTCGCTCCAGTGGGATAGCATTTGTCAGGAATGTTACTTAAAATTCAACAATTAATTGTCTAGGGCTCCTGTATGAGGATCTACAACTTGGCTGCTAATTAAACCCAATTAGTGAGGGTAGGGAAAGACTAGCTAATTAGTAGGTGATTGGCTTGAAGTATGTACAAGCACTTAAAACATAATGTTGTTACAAAAATTTACAGACCTATCAATATTGTATAGTGATTTACAGTCATAGACACTTTTATTACCAACGAATCAGCTATATGTATAATCCATTCACGCATACATTAATATAGAGTTAGGATGTGTTAATCAAAAAATACCTCGCATATTTATCTTTCAGATGCTTTCGGTCGAAAATGAGTTAATAAAAACGGAACCGGTCTTGCATGTAAAAAAATGCTTTGAAAATAAATTAACAAATTGTTTCGATGAGCTGCAGAGCTGCCCATTCGAATGAAGCCTTACAAAGACAAAGTCTTTGATCACAGTTTGCAACTCATTTCATGCTCAGTCGTGTTTTTGTTTCATAGCTGATTAAAGTTATCCGGTCTGATGAACAGTTCAACAAAATGAAAGTAGGCGAGAGATTCCGTCCGCCCATTCGCGTGGCTATGCATAAAATTTAACGTCCACATTCTAATATTCATAAATCCGACCAAAACGGCACACGGGGACGTAACAGATGACCGTAATTAACCGTGAAACAATCTTGGGGGGCTCATTCGGTATTCGCTATGCATATGACAATAACAAGTCTGTCCAAAATTTCATTACATCATTCACAAAGTCGCGTCCGCCCTCCAAGTTTTCAATTAAACTTCGAATGAGTTTCGGAGCAGAATTAATTGGATTTTCATTAGCGTTAGGGACAAATGATGTTGTTGTTACCGACAAACGATCTATTGTTGCTCGGCAGGGCAATTAGTCCTCGTCACTCAACTGCTGCGTTCACGCGTCGCCGTGCGTCCGCCAAATATTTTACGATTATACAGGGTTGTTAGCGCGCGAGCCCGCGTAACATATTGTTCGTGATCACAGGCACGAAAACAATTAACAACTGTTGCCAAACTGTATGCAGTTATTACTTGTAACAAATTCGTTGACGCTTTATTATTGCATTCTTTTGTTAATGTTTGGGACTGATGAAATTTTAATTAAAACACATGTAACCGCTTTTTGTACTACGAGTATGATTGATGGTTAGGTTGAGTACTCGTATTGATAATATTTTATGAAGGCGTTAATAAAGTTAAATTAGTTTTTGAATCCACGATAAACCGACAAAGTCAAACTGATATTTTATTCAATTGGTGATGTTTTAGTTCCTAAGAAAACTTTTCCTGAAGTGAAGTACTAATAAAATTGCGTTAATTAGTTTAAAATTTTGCCTTGGGTAGAATTGCCTAACTATTAAGTAGGTACTTATTTACTTTGAAAACAGTTTCCAACTTTTCAGGAAGATTCTGTCTGTAGTAGGGAGTCTTAATTAGGAACAATTTAACTGTTCAAAAATAACCCTGTATAGGCTGTATAAGTGTTTACAAAAAAGTTAAAGTTAAAAGTTTAAGTAGTAAGCTTTGTTTAGTTTGGGATTAGAAAGCGCCATTTAAAATGTCCAAGCAATATTTTATTTCGGCAAATTGACGTCCACTGCCTTTGTCCTTTGCCTCTCCCAAGGCCAATTGGCTGAAACGAACAAACATAAATTATTCTTTTTTTAGTCCCATTAGCCCCTCATACTAAGCTAAATATGTTTGTATCACGAGTAAGTTCACCACAATAGTCGAGCGGCGGCGGAGACCGAACCCGCGTTCCCCGGATCATGAGTCGGCCAGTCCGACCTCTTCACCGTTCGACTATCGTGGCTTCTTTATTATTTAAAATTCTCATTGTCATATCTCTGTTCCAGGAATCGGCGTAGTGCTAGTGACAGCGGCAGGCCTAGCATGGCGTCTGGGCGCCCGCGACGCGCCCTGCGCCTTATTAGGGCTCCGCCGCGCGTCCTGCCGGCGCCTCGTGCCGCGCCTGCCGCCCAGCTACGCCAGGCCGCACCACCCTTATGCGGCCATGCTGTACCCGGAGTTCCATTATCGGCCACCGCCGCCCACGTACCAGGCGTCGATGCAAGAGTATAGACTCAGGTTGGTTCTTTTAACTTAGATAGCTTAGAAAATACATACTTATGGTAAAATACTCCAGCGCCATAGTAGGTAACATTCGTTAATATGAAGTTCGATTTGATAGTCAAATGAGACAGATATGCTAATATAGGTTACAGGAACGCAGGCCGCTTCCAATCAACCAATCTAAATATTGTTGGAGGAGGCAACAGTGGACGTCCTGGATAACAAAATGAAGTAGGATACAACAATAAAAGTAGCATAAATGCTTAGCTAACTTTCACCAAGATGTGCCCAGCGAAACCATATTACACGTAGAAATTTCCACCCTATATGTAAAAAAATGGAACCTTATAGTGGAAGGCTTTATTATCTCTTAGGCTGACGTCAGTCTTAATTTCAATTTTCTGTTTCAGGTTACTTCTCCTCGACAGAAGTGCGCCCGCGGTGTCCCCACCTCCAACGTACAGATCAAATTCTGCCAGTCTAGTCAGGTAATATTTCTTCCTTTTCATTTCATAACAAACATCGAATTCTATAAATCATATCGTATTCAAAATAAGTATTACAAGTAATAAATAACCGGTTATTCTATTACAGAGGATCGACAGGCGCAGCATGGTGTGGGTCAGAATACAGCGGGCCGCCGTCATACCGCGCGCCGCGCAACGACCCGCCCGTCACTGTGACGGACGCCCTACCCACGCTAACTCCCCTCGACCTTAAGTACGCGGAGGACCCCCTGGAATCACTCCCCAAGCCCACAGAACAAGAGAAAGACCCTGACGAGCACCTCGTCACCATCGTTCACACAGACGCCCAACCAGTCATCGTCACCGTCTCAGGGTCCGCAGCCCTCAACGAAACACACACGCAGCCGCCATCAGAAATCGACATACTGGCGCACTTATAACGAACTATGTAGTGAATAAGGCTTGTGAGAGCAACGATTCGAACGATGTGCACAGTTACTGTGTAGATGGTCAAAGCAAAAAGTGATGTAGTACATACTCTAATGATACTAAGGCCCGTATTATAAAGCGACACCCAAGTTTGAAACTATAGTAAAGAACATCCTATGATTCGGTCGGAAAGTATTGAAATCTCAGACTTCAGCATAATATGCTCGGATTTTTGAGTGTCATTTCATAATACAGGTTTTTTTGTAAAGCGTGGTCAGAAGGAGAATGTGCTAAAGTGGAATTTAAATAGCAGTGAAATTAGCAGAACATTAAAACTTTCGACCGATACCCAAAAGCACAACTTACGAAAGTATTACATAGAATAGAATTGTATCGTTTTATAAATTATGATGATAAAATCGAATCAAACACAAATTGTCAGTCTCAAAATAGGTTTCGCAGAAACAGAAAATTACCGTAATGCTTAGACGCGTTTCAGAAATTCATTTTCCCCAGTGAAATTCTGTAACGCGATAATATTACAATATCACTACGTTTAAATGTCCACTATTGTATATTTAAATTCTACTATTGTAATCGTTTTCAAGTACCTTATTTTATTGTGTGTAAGTTTTGTGTATATAAAAAAGCACTGACGTATAATTTCGTTTGATTAGTTGATAATAAAAAACAAACTACGTGCCGTGTATATACGAATGTTACAAACGTTAGCAATAAATAAATATATACGCGAATTATTATTTAAAGCCAAATCTCTCACCATAATGTACAAGTGCGATTTTGTTTCATAGTGCCAATCGTTGTTTAATTATTCTATACATAATGAATGCCCTGGAAAAATATATTTGTTGTGTTCAATTAATTTCTGTATTTTTAACCTCGCGGTTCTACATATTTTACTGTCCGTTTCATAGTTACCTACCTTCGCTTTTGGTAATCTGTACCTTAAGTCCTATTTCTCAAAGTAATTTATTCAGTTAACTATACCTACTTGTAACATACGAAGCCATAAATGGTATTGTTAATACATGTTTTCTCCTTTTTTGTTACACGTTTACGTTTTAGCTTTAGCAAAACATTAAGTTATATTTAAATGGACTTGTAAATATACTGATGTGGCACATTGTAGGAGTTTTGTAGCTTCATTTTTGATATAAAAATACTTTCTGAGTTCTGATTTAGAAGTTAGTTGAAAGTGGTTTTATGTCAATATGCGGTTTCAAGGGATTCGTAAAGAATCACGGTCATCAGTGATTAGCAGTACGGTATTTATAAGTTTTTGTAACATATTACTGTTACTTACTGTTAATATAGGTTATATTTAATGTAATTATCATGATGTACATAACGTTAAATGTAATATAAGATGAATAAAGAACATTAGTGAAACCATTTCTGATATTTATTCTCAATACCTACCTATACCAAAAAAAAGGCTGTACTTATCTACGCAAGAAAATTAAAAATACCTACTTATTTTTAATTACAAAAATATCTGTAGGTATAATGTACCTGTGTACAATAACAGGAATATCTTACATTTAATGTACATACTTATATTACCTAACTTGTTTAATTTGCTGTGCAAGTCAGCGATCTCTACCTAATGAGTAAACATGCTGAGCAGTACGATAACATAAAAACTTAAGTAAACTATTAAATTCGTAATAAACCCATTTAGAGGATACACATCTCAATCCAATTAGCCTCTCTGTTTGTTAGTTGTCTACATGCAAATGAAATAAGCCAGTGGAATTAGCGGAAAAATCTAATTTCGCTGGCTGTACCTAATAACTGAGTTAGCGACCGGTCGTTTTGAAAATGAAAACGTTTACGGTGCACCGTCAGTGATATTTATTTTGAACTGCACAAATGTTGAATTTTTGTATAGATTCACTCTGCGTAATGAAATAATTGAATTCGTAAATTGTTTAGAGTAAACGGTTCATTACTTATATTAAAATCATAAAAATATTTAACATCCACGTATTAAATGATTCCTTAAACTTTTTTAAAAGCGCTACAACCGATTTACCTATCCTAAATTCAGTTGCCAGTCTCTTGGCATGGCAAAAGTCAAGACCGGAAAATTCGTATGTTAGAATACTAACATTAGGTAAGTAGGTACCTAAACTTAATAAAACTAACAAAATAATTTCCAAGCAAAACTTATCCAAACTTACCAATACAAAAATTAATAAGTCCACGGTCAATTTTCAGCGCAACTTCATCCAAAAAGTAAATCGAAACGCGTTGATATTGGCACAATGGTTCTTTGTAATTATATTGTAAAGCAATTTTGTCCCGATGCCAGCAACGCCGTCGTCGCTGCGAAAATGAAAATCGTAGTGGATTAATAAAACGCCGAGCATAATGGCCGAGCGCACAGTAAATGTAATAAAGCAAAAATTATGAATGATTTAAATTCCACAATAAATTTCCAGGCGACACCTCTACGATCGCGTTTGAGATGCCTCGCTTTCATTCCGATGATTTAGATGTCGTGTAAATTTTACGAATTTATTAAACGTGCGTAAAAAAATAATAATTCAGGAATGGCATTTATGAGATTTTAGTGGGTACATTTTAGGTCATAAAGTCTATTTTGTTGTAAACTTGTGACCTTACATTAAATTAAAACTCTTGAGAGCAGTCGTGATTTAAAGTTAGATGTTTTACTACACCTTTACACATAAGCGTCTAACTAAAGGCAAATATGAAGGACCGAATCTTCAAGAAAAACTGGAAGGTACCTGGATAGGACGCCACGCTACAGGAAAAACACGGTAAACAGGGATCTATTTACGCTACGGGAAAACTGTAGCGTCGTAGTCGTAGGTCAGATTTTCTTGCCGCTTAGGATACTTGACACAATATGTAAATGACCGAGGACTTTTTAACATTCAAAGCTAGTAAAAAATCAACTCCTGCGCGCTTCAGCGGGACAGTCCATCCCAAAAAAAATCAATTAACTTATTAATCGGAATAAACTTTCTTTCTCCTTAAATATAGGTACCTAGTAGTAACATTTAGGCTCGGTTGCACCATCCTATTTTAACTTTAACAAACGTCAAATATCTGTCAAACTCCATACAAAAAACACCAGTAATCGTCAAAGTTACGGTCAAAGTTAAGTGGTGCAACTCAGCCTTAATTTCGATAACGTTTCATTCTTGACGACAGAATTACTTAGGCTGGGTTGCACCATCTTACTTTAACTTTGACAAACGTCAAAAATCTGTCAAACTCCATACAAAAAACACCAAAGTTAGGTGTTGCAACTCAGCCTTAATAACAATATTCTTTTACGTTACGTTGTATAAATCAAGAACTACGAGGCACGAAACTTCGCAGTACATTCTGAGCAATACTTTTTGATTTAAAGACCGTACTCCTGCCGTAAATTTGGTTTATAAAATGACTTTCGGTGCTTCATTGCCGCTTCTGAGGGCACACTTGCCAAATGAAATGGACTGAATTTTCTTTTTAAAACTTGTGCGCTTTGGAAAGGTAATAAATAGCCAGTCCAAAATTTCAACGACGCATAATTTATTTTAGAGTTGCAATACAAACCAAAAATAAATAACTAAATTTTTGTAAGTAGTTAAATGGTTTTTCCAAAACTTACAGTCAGTATTTGAAATCCATGAACTAAGTAAAGTTAATAACCAAATACTAACGAAGCGCTAAATGCGCTCGATTGATACATGTTCGAGTTCTTTAACTAAATTGGATAATTATAATGTGTTCCACCTAGGAATCGACATCAAGACTTGTGAGCACCTTTAACTAGCCGTTAAATCTATTATGTGATAGTAATGTTGTCTGTGTGTTTATGTTGGCATAAGTACCTACTAACACATACAAAATGTAAATTATGATTTACATGCGGTATTCACTGGCACATTAGTTATCTATCGCCGACTCATATTGAGGAATGATCATAGCTGAACAAGTATTTACATGTCACGAAAAACCCCCAATATTTTTTTTTTATGGTATTGCCACTCTTGGGACCACTACTTAATTAAATTTAAATGAAACTTCTCCATTATTACTTAACTTTTATATTTTGTATGGGGTACTTTACTTTTTCAGATGTCTAACTGAAAAAGTTTTTCAGCAATTTAATTAATAGTGTTATCAAATTCAAAAAGAACAGTATTCTACGTTTCAAATATCTCAACGTGAACTTTTAAAAGGAACATTTTTCACAAAGTCTTGAAGTCTTAACCAAAACGAACAGTGTAAACGTAACCAAAATTGCTATTGAATGGAATCGTCGAGACGCCGAGGCATGATTTATCGAGTCCGCCTGCGCTAATGGCTGCCGAATAAGCACCAATGCAGCTCCGATGCCAGGGTTGTCATAAAAAACAATTCAAAACATCCATAGGTACTGAGTTTTAACAATATTTTCTTAAGTAAAAATTACGTTACTTGTAATAAATTGGTGGTACTTATCTGGTATGCTTCTTTGTATTTTTCTGAAACAGACACAACCCATCAAAAGTCATAATATTTCTCAGTTGTCAATAAGAGCAGTTGCCTAGCAAACGAAGCTTAGGTCATGGTTTTAAGTCCCATGATAAACTGTAAACTTAGTCAGTAATAAGGCAAATATTTGGCTACCCCTACATACCACAGCATTGTGGTTCACATAGGTATTGGTGTGTACCTACTTTCTTCTAGTAAAAGTATGAAACATTCACTAACGATTCCTTCTCGAAACTTTCGAAGTAGGTTGCCAACCCTGTCGTTTGTTATTTTTAATCCCATAGACAGCTTAAATGGAGGAAAAATGCAGAAACTTGGAGAACAGCGGGACGAACTTAATCTTTAAAACTCCCTATCTCCGAAATGGGTCAAGCTTCAAGATGTTCTGAATCCAATGAAAAGCAATTTTATTCGCTTCATGCGAAAACTTACGAAAAAACATTTCCTCCTTTCCAAATGAAGTGAACTACCATTTGTGAGTTCACAAGATAAAATGAAAAACAAATGCATTTGTGAGTTCACAAAATAATCTGGTAGACCAGATACCAAGTTTTAGGGCTGTTTCTAACATGTTATTCCTGAATCAGTTTTGCATATTCTTTTCTAGTTCGGGACATCTTGAGGTTGGTCAGATTCCATACACAAACAAAGCCTAATCGAGCTAAGCATTCCCTCAAATAAGTACTTAATCCGATGTGATAATTTGTAAATAATAACAAATTTTTAAATGTGCTGTGTACTGTACTGTATAGTCAGTTCGTGACACATAAAATAGCCAATAACATAAGTAGGTAAACTTTTTGATCACTTCAAGTGTCACTAACTACTTATTTGACGCTGACAACGCTGACGACTGTACCATGTCAGATAATTTGAACTTTCAAGACTTTATAGCAATCCCAACTAAACGTCATACAGTGTATATCCCAGTCTAAAGCTAGATGGCTGTAGACCTCACATTACACCCCACTGAGTCCGATCCCGGACTAATTTCTTCCATCCAATATTCGTACGTCGTCAGTCCATTTTGCTGAAGGGCACACGCTGCATTCACCAAGTACGCTCCAGAACTCGTCGCCTCAAAGGCCATTTGATCTATCCACGGCAAATGTAAACAGCCCAGAAACTTCTTTGGTAGTGGTCGAATAACATCGTTTCAGATTTCAGCTTTCAGAGGAATCTCCATCCTCTCTAGCAGATTGGTATGATTGATATTGGTATGACATATTCAACCTAAATGACGATTCACAAAAAGGTTTTTACGAAGTGTTGGCGACTGTACCTACCTATACTGCAATCGTTTAATAAGTAGTAAGTAATGCTATACCAGTGTTCGTCAACTAGTGAACTAAAATATATTATTTTGTAATAAATCATTATTTGTAGAGTTCAAAAGCCTTTATACCTTTATTCTTTTTTTCCAGTTTCAATGATTCAATCATCATCACATTGTTTCAGAACGTACGTATAGACAGTAAATAATATAATCTTAGCTAATATCGTTATTTAAAACTGAGTTATGCAAAATGAGATCCAATCTCGCCATTTTATCGTCATAATAATTCGAAGAGCGAGCGGCGTTCCTAGTATTTCCTAGCGTGCTCTATAAAGGCATAGAACTTTTTCCATTTCCATAAGTGACTTAACCTTCGCTTTATATTCAAACCTTTCAGATTTCGCTGAAATTGCTCCATCCACTTAAATATATTTATGTCTACCCTGGCACTGTTTTCGTCAAAGTCGCTAGTTTCTCACGCCAAATTGCGAATTCCCACGCGATGTATATAAGGGAAATGTTTTTCTTTGTTCCTATCATGTAAGTAATGAATTTTCATTACGTATTTACGTAGTATGATATGTTAATTTACCAAACCTAAATGGCACTCAGTACGTAT